TTTTGAAGATAAGGTTTTAACATCATTTCATTTCTTAAACCTCTCAATACGCAGCACAGTTAAGGTTACAAATGGAAATTTCGGCGATTTTTTAAGATACAAAATACTTTATTAGGATGGGCGATTCTTTTTTGGAATTCACTGATATTAAAAAAAATGTAATGTGGTTTAAATCTACATTTTGGAGACAATTTGATTTTTTATTTAGACTTGTCATGTGATGTCGACGTCACATGACTTTGGCCATTATACTTGCAGTTTAGATGTCATCTATAAATTTCAATATTGCAAGGGCATAACCAAGTCAAAAATCTTAGTTTATTTTATAATCTTTTTCAACATTATATGTAGTTTGTGAAAAGTGCTGCGAACCTATATAGATTCCCTTTTTTAATTAGTAAAATTTAATTTGTTGGACGGCAGGTTGAATATTTTGCTGGTCAACTACATTAAATATAGCTATAATTAATTTATTTGCAAGATTTCAAGAGGTTCACAGCACTTTTCAAATATCTTAATGCTTCTTGAGTTTATGTGTAAAATTTTGACAAGATACATTGAGGGTATGCCCTTGCAATAAATTGATCTATTAGGGCCCTTCCATTACTTTTTCAATGAATCTGCATATAAACACACGACAGTATCGCTTGTCTGGAGAATGCACGTATAGTTTATAAATAAAATACTAAATAGGCATCGCATCCAAGTTAACGGCTTTTTATTTTACTGCAAAAATATTTTATTTGAGAACAAAGACATTTTTCATTGTACAAAATGTGACTTGATCAGCCTCTCACTGTGTACAAACTGCGTCATTTTTGCGACATGACGTCACATTGACAAGTGCATTGCGATCGATGCATCGTTTATATACTGCTGTGTGGGATTTAACAAACGACAAAACTGCATGTAATAGTAAGTTTGTATGTAGAATACAGCTATCCAGCTGTTTGAAATAGCAAATAATTTCATTATCTGGTATTTTGAAGACATTATATTACGTGTGACGTCATAGTAAACATTTCCCGTACAAATTAGGCCCCGACTCCTTACTGTAACCTTAACTGTGCTGCTTATAATTTCATAATATAATCCTATATAATTTACATTAAAAAAAACAAAAAAGCAATCACATGATTGCTATTGTCAGTTGAAAGAAATCCTTGGCATACTTATCATTTGCGTTATAAAATAATTTCTCTTTGTCTTTCTTTTTTTAAGTATTATAACAGAATATTATACATTAATCAACATGCGTTTTGTCTGAGCCATGCAAGAACCATACTTTTTATCTAATGCAAACAATATCAGTTCAGTTAAACATTGAAAATGTAAGACCTTTAAAGGAATTTTGTAAGGAATAACACATAATGATAAAGACTTCTAGGTCTTGCATTTTTTAAAAATGAAATTAAAAAAGAATGAATTCAAATCTTCATTTTTTTCGATTTATTTTTTTTTAGATTGCCGAGACAATAACTATCAATATCTATCTCAGATCAGTGTGTGTTATAAAGATTATCTTGACAACAAGAACTGGCAAGATGCCAATGCAAAGTGTCAATCAGACGGAGGGTATCTCATTATGCTTGACACTGTGGAAAAACTCTCTGTGTTTCAATCTTTAATACCCAAACAGGGTAGGTTTTACTTTGCTTAAAATTATGTCTTATTTTCTCTGCATCAGGTGCCATTTACTCTCTCTAATTTTGATATTTTTTCAAAGAGTTCAATCGTATTCCGGTTGTCATATTGATACTTTTTGCTCCTCAAATGGCGTCCCTGTTGAAGGAAAAGTGTGATGATACATGGAGATAACTAACAGATTTCAAATGTTTATTAAACAAGGTAAAATTAAAGCAAAACATCGGAGATGGGATCAGGTATCATGGAGGAGTGAGACTGGTCACACTCACTATATGTCCCTTCCTCTTATCAGGAAATAACCAATTAAGGATTTACACCACTTCTAGAATATACTTGTGCAAAGAAATCCTGTAGTTTCTTTTTCACCACATATAATATTTCGGTGAAAAGTAAACAAAGGGGATTTGTAGAAGATTTACTGGAACCCTCTACGTATGTTTGAATGTAGCGATTTTTTTTAAGTCATTACAATTCAAAATAGATATTGTAATTCAAATCTATGCTGGTTGCGATATTTTTTTTTTAGAAATGAGGTATGGGTATACGTTGAATTACCACTAGTAGAATTAAATCCTATTTCCTCTTAAATTCAATTTAAATAATTCATTATTTTCATCACTAAAATGCACATCATTACCATGCCTGAATAAAACTATGTTGCACTTGATATACTAAGAGGGCTCTAATATAAATAATGCGATGAGTTCTATAACATACAACATAGAAATCATAATTATGACTTAAAACTTGGCTTTCTCTACTGATTGAAACCGCTCAGAGTAGCCTAGTCGATAGAGCGCACTCTTAGTGAACGGGAGGTCGTGAGTTCGAATCTCGACCACGACCGACCTAAGTCGACAAAAAATAGGTAGCAACTGTTTCTTTGCCATGCACTCGCCACTTGAAGTGAAAGTTGCGTCCTTCGGATGAGACCTTAAAAACCAAGGTTCCGTGTCACGACAGGCGTTGGCGCGATAAATATCGCTCACTGCTTGTTAAAGTGAAATTTTGTGTGAAATTGTTTGTATAATTAATGCTTGATTTATATTATCTTAATCTTGTTGATTTGTAGTAATTACTCTAAGCTACAGACTGCAGTGATCTGTTTATGTGATAAGGTCTTGACCGCTCATTAAGATTTGGCTGGGAAATTTAGCTCTTGTATCAGCATTGCTGACTTTTATCACCCGAGTCTCAGGGGGATTGAATGTCTGAAGTGCTGGCCATGAGAAAATGCAGAATTCATAGTGTTCACAATTAACGGGTTAATTTAGCAGTGATTGGCAGTCTGTAGGTTGGGCAGTTCTTAATATTTAGCGTAGAATTTGTGTGTTCAATTAGTTACTCAGTCGGGTCCTGTGTGTAAAGTGTTACACGGGAATACAAAATAAACTTTGTTGGAAATTTTGGGCGTTTTTATTTAAAAACAGAAAGTTTCGGTGTAACATTTTAAGTGGTGGCAGCGGTAAAGGATCCTAATTAAATGTGAAATATTGTTTGAAATTTAATACATATATTTGGATTTAACAAGCGGAATTAAAATGCCTAGGAAACAGGACTTGGAATTGGAATTTCAACTTTCTAAACAAAAACAGGAACATGAATTACGTTTAAAAACACTTGAATTGGAACATGAAAAAGAAATTTTGGAATTACGTGTTCAGCTAGAGAAGGCCAATTCAACACCAGGAGCACATTCGACAGGAATGCCAAAAATTAAACTTCAACCATTTAATCAGGAAAAGGATGACATTTTGTGCTATCTCTCTGAATTTGATGCGGTAGCTGAGCATGCAGGTTGGACTGAGAACTCAAAGGCTTTACAGCTTAGGTCACTTTTAACCGGAGAAGCTCGAGAAGTGTCGCAGCAAGTGACTTCGGGATACAGAGATCTGTATAAGGCTCTTTTGAATCGATTCGGCAAGCGCCCAGCAGACTACTTTCAGTTCCTGGAGGAAATTAAATGTAGACCAGGAGAAACTTACAGAGGATTAATGTCGAGAATAGATCTGTATTTGAGTCGTTTCATTGATGAGAAAGATCCCGTACTAAAGTTCCGAGAAGAGTATTTCTTAAAGGCGTTATCTCCTCAACAAGCCCAGTGGATTAGACGGAATAAGGGAAGTAGTGAGTTAGTTGAAGCTGCTGAGGATTACATTCTACCAACAAAATCGGCCGAGGACAGAAAACTTCTAAATCCTAAAGTGTTAGGTGAGAAGAAGAGCCAGGAACAGGGGAACTCCGGAAAACAGAAAAGTTTGGAAAAAGTGAAATGTTTTAGCTGTGGGAACTTTGGACATTATGCAAACAAATGCCCAAAGAAAGGTAATCTAGCGTCGTGTTTCGTGAAAGGAGCATTATGGGGTTTACATTATGTTCCGGGGAAAGTGGATGATGTGGAAGTGTCAATGGTCAAGGACACTGGAGCATCTATGACGCTATTGCGGGAGGATCTTGTTGATCCAAAATGTGTTCTACATGGACAAACTACTTCCTTGGTTACAGCTATTGGACAGCCATTCGAGGCTAAGTTAGCAGTGGTTAAGCTGGAAACACCAATGTTTAAGGGTCATGTTCAGGTAGGTTTAGTACCTGATCTGGTTGCAGATGGTTTATTGGGAATAGATGTTCTGGAGAGGAACAAAGTTGCAGCTGTGGTTACGAGAGCCAAAGCAAAAGAACAAGAACAAAATGAATTAAGTGCCAAAAATCGCATGAATAAATGTGATGTCGTACCAAGGGACTTAAACGTCATGGTAACTGACGATGAGGCTGGTGAAGTGAACCTTGATTTACCGGAAATTTCATTGGAAAAGTTGAGCGTGGTGAATGGAAATAAACTATCGAATCTTCAGAAACAAGACCCAACACTCAAATATTGTAGGGATAAAGCATTCAAAAATGTATCGCAAACTGAGACAGAACATAAAGCGTTTTACTGGGAGAATGACATATTGAAACGAAAATGGACTTCCAAGAAAAAGAATCTGTCGGGAACACAAGTGGTACTTCCAGCATCGCTAAGAAAAGCAGTGATGAAGCTGGCACATGATCAGCCAATAGCTGGACATTTAGGAACTGAGAAGACCAAACAACGTATTCTTGCGTCATTTTATTGGCCTGGATTGTTCCAAGATGTGTCGGACTACTGTGCAGAATATGACACCTGTCAAAAAGTGGCAAAAAGAAGTGCGGAAAGAGCTCCTATGGTCAACACACCTATCATAACTGATCCGTTTTCAAAGATCGCAATGGACATCGTTGGCCCACTCAATAGGACAACTCAAGGTAACAAATACATTCTGACTGTCATTGATGAAGCTACGAGATACCCAGAAGCTTTTGCTTTACCAAGTTGTGAAGCTAAACGAATAGCCGACACTCTCATTACATTATTTAGTCGAGTTGGAATTCCTAAAACTATTTTCACTGACCAAGGATCAAATTTCACGAGTGCGCTCCTGAAAGATTTATATGAGAAAATCAAAATCAAGGGAATAACTACAACGCCTTATCACCCGCAGGCAAATGGCAAAGTTGAAAGATTTAATGGAACGTTAAAATCAATGTTGAAAAAGTTGTGTATGGAGAATGGCAAAGATTGGGATGTACTACTCCCCTATGTACTTTTCGCGTACAGAGAAGTCCCGCATGAGGAGACTGGTTTTTCACCATTTGACCTGTTGTACGGATGGCCAGTACGTGGTCCTCTTAGTGTTTTAAAGAGCTTCATGACTGGTGAGGAGGAAATAAAAACATCAGAGATAGATCATGTCGTCAACATCCGAAACAAACTGGCTGATGTGACACAACTCGTGCAAAACAACTTTGAAATGAGGCAGTCGAAGATCAAAGATTGGTATGATCGCTCAGCATCCAAAAGGACTTTGCGCCCTGGTGATGAAGTACTCGTTCTACTCCCGACCGAACCTGGCAAGATGTCCGCTCAGTGGAAAGGACCATTTCGTGTGGTTAACAAGGTAAATGATGTTAACTATAAAATCAATGTTGGAGGACGACGTGGACTTGTTACCTACCATATCAATTTACTTCGTCCTTATAACCGGGCTACATTACTGGCAGCAACAGAAAATGAAATTGGAATTGAACAGCAATTTCCTAACGACACCACAGAAACCATTTCAGATCTTGTCTTTGGACATGGGCTGACTCAAGTGCAGAGACAGAGTTTAAGGGATGTTTGTCAGAAATTTTCAAGAATTTTCACATCAAAGCCGGGAAAGTGTGATGTTATCTCACATACAATCAAAACAACGTCTGAGAATCCAATTACTCAGAGACCTTACAGGATACCGGAAGCTAAGAAACCGGAAGTTAAGGAACCTTTGAATGAAATGTTAGAACAAGGACTTATTACACCATCCAAAAGTCCGTGGGCCTCACCAATTGTCCTTGTCAACAAGCCTGATGGGACAATTAGAATTTGTGTTGATTACAGAAAACTGAATGAAATAACTCTCACAGATCCTTATCCCATTCCACGCATGAGTGAAATATTTGAGAAAATTGGAAGTGCAAAATATTTGAGTAGATTTGATCTTACAAAAGGCTACTGGCAAGTTCCGCTGGCAAAGGAAACACGCGAGAAATCCGCCTTCATCACCCCATTGGGCCTTTTCGAGTTTACAGTGATGCCGTTTGGTATGAAGACGTCTCCAGCATCATTCATAAGACTTATGGATCGTATTTTAGATGGAACTCAAAATACTGTTGCGTACTTTGATGACATAATTGTCTACAGTCAGACGTGGGAAGACCATATCAAACATGTAACAGAACTACTTCAGCGTATTCATGAGGCCAATCTTACCATCAGACCATCAAAATGTAAGTTGGGAGCAACAGAAATCATCTGTTTAGGACACATAGTTGGTGGAGGGACAATTAGACCAGACCCTAGGAAATTGAAGGCCATGGAGGATTTTCCACTTCCCTTGACAAAGAAGGAATTAAGATCATTCTTGGGATTAACTGGATACTATCGCCAGTATATAGGAAATTATGCGGACATAACTGTACCACTGACTGATCTACTGAGAAAAGGTCAACCCGCAGAATTAAAATGGACGGAGAGGGAAGTGCAGTCATTCAAGAAACTGAAGGAGGCCCTGATGACAGCTCCTGTTTTGGTCAATCCTAACTTCAATTTACCGTTTGTACTACAAACAGATGCGAGTAATAACGCAATTGGGGCTGTCCTGAGCCAGCAGATGCCAGATGGTGATCACCCAGTTGCTTACCTTAGTAAGAAGTTACTTCCAAGGGAAAAGAACTATTCAACCATAGAGAAGGAATTACTGGCCATCGTTTGGGCCATTGGATCGTTCTCGTATTACCTAGAGGGGAGGAAGTTTTACGTAGAAACAGATCACAATCCACTAATATGGTTGCATTGCTTGAAGAATAAAAATCAGAGACTTTTACGTTGGGCCCTCGCACTACAATCGTACACCTTTGAAGTTAGATATAAGAGAGGAAGCAAAAACACAAATGCAGACGGATTATCAAGAATCTGAAAAGTGAAATGTGTTTGTGAATTATGGGCAATTTTTGTGAAAATTTTATATTCATAAAATTCAAGTGTATTCAGTTTGGATTTACAGTGAAATTCATTTTGGATTTATATTATTCTTTTGATGATTAATTGCTATTAACTGTTTAATACTTATTTGGACTGGCTAAAGTGAATTTAGTGACTGGCTAAATTTAATTTGCTATACACAGAATTATGAACTTGGAAAAAAATTCAACTATTGACAGTTAAATTTTTATCTTTGGAAGGGAGGTGTTAAAGTGAAATTTTGTGTGAAATTGTTTGTATAATTAATGCTTGATTTATATTATCTTAATCTTGTTGATTTGTAGTAATTACTCTAAGCTACAGACTGCAGTGATCTGTTTATGTGATAAGGTCTTGACCGCTCATTAAGATTTGGCTGGGAAATTTAGCTCTTGTATCAGCATTGCTGACTTTTATCACCCGAGTCTCAGGGGGATTGAATGTCTGAAGTGCTGGCCATGAGAAAATGCAGAATTCATAGTGTTCACAATTAACGGGTTAATTTAGCAGTGATTGGCAGTCTGTAGGTTGGGCAGTTCTTAATATTTAGCGTAGAATTTTTGTGTTCAATTAGTTACTCAGTCGGGTCCTGTGTGTAAAGTGTTACACGGGAATACAAAATAAACTTTGTTGGAAACTTTGGGCGTTTTTATTTAAAAACAGAAAGTTTCGGTGTAACACTGCTCAATGGTCCTGAAAAAGCCCACGTCCTTAGAGACAAAGATTTACAACAACCAAAATTCAACCAATTATAACTGAATATGTTCGATTGGATTTAAGAAACATAGCAATATTGATTGAGTTGCGTGTAGCATACATTGTTTTATAAAAACAGAAACATTTGACAGTAAAATTCTTAATACTCAATTGTGACCCTATGTTTTGAAAAATGAGTGAAAACGACAGTGTATAAGAATATTAAAACAATTACATGTATCTAAAAAAAAAAAAAATTAAAAAGTGGAATTATCCATGTTTCTCTGAAATTTAAAGAGAGTACTGTCGAACTTGAATCCATTGCTTTAAAACCTCAAAACAAATTTACAATAAGATGTACTTGACAAAAACAGCAAAAGTCTGAGAAGAGCAAAGATCTGCAAAAGCACAAAAACACAGTTCATTTTCGTGAGTAGTCTAGAAAGAATCTTTTCCAAAAGAATCTAAAGTTTAATGAGAGAATTGAATCAGAATCAGACATCCACTATATTAAATTTTCTCCTGACGGTGTTCATACCCACATGCCCTGAATATATAGGAGTTTTGGAGATAAACAGAAAGTTAATGTTTATTCATGTCAACAATATTCTCCAAATCTGTTATATCTGTATTTTGATTTGTTTCATTTTCCAAACTTGAAAAAAGACTCCTAAGAAGAAACAAGTCCATGAAATCCTAGGATCTGTCATATTCCAGTATAAGAAGGTCCACACTCAAAAATGTGTTCTAAAATAATAAGAAATAGGAGGAAACTGTTACAGACATATGTTTTAATTAAAAGGTGATATTAAAAAGACATCATTAACTCAAAGGCTAATTCATTGAAAAGTTTTTTTCATAAAGAAAGCTCAAAACATTCCTTTCAAACAGCAATTTTATCAATTCAGTTCGCTTCAATGTAAATCTGAGAATATCATGCATACACAATTGAAAAATCCTGATTGAAAATTTAAGGAAAGCAAACAGAAAAGTCAAACTTAAGGTACAGAGTAAAGTGCAATTCAATTATACAAAATCTGACTTTAAGAAAAGAAAAAAAATAATAAAATAAAAATTGTAATAAATAAAATAAAAAAATCAAAATTAAAAAAAAAACACTTTGAAAACGTTGAAGGATTATTGATAAGTTCTTCGACTAATTTTTTTCCAACTTTATTCCAAGAATAATAATATTAATTGAAATTGTTCAACATCACTACTTTAATTTGATAAATATTCTTGCATGTTTCAATCAATTATATCTTTCAGGTAAGTACAGGTATTTCTATATATGTTCAGCTGTGAAAAAAACAGTCTAGTATATGCATTTTAAAGAACTTATTAATTATTCTTTAACATTTTCTAGGTTTTTTGTTAATTTTATTCATTATTATTTAGTGCTTTTTTTTCTAAAGGGCCATTCTTGTATTAATGTTACAGTAAAATATGTGTGATCAGGAATTTCACGTATTTCCTAACTTACATGAAATACATGAAATTCCCATCCTGCTTAGGGAAATCATGTATTTAATGTTTTCAATCAGGAAATACATGTATTTAGTAAAATTATCAATACTTTTTTCAAGAATATACTGACGTACAGTGTTTTGGTTATCTATTTTAATATCATGAATTTTTTATATTGATGTACAGTCATTTAAATTTTATTTGAGAAGGAAGCTTTGTTCTATGAAATATACACTGTACATGTGTGTATATGTATATTTCATAAAACAACGGTTCTTTATTAAATGAACTTAAACATATTTTTAGGGGTTACATGTAATAAAAAAGCAAATATTTTGTGACAGTTCCTCGGAACACACATTATTATAGTACTTGCTTTCTCCAATAAGAACACTATTCTTCCATTTTTTTATTAGTGTATTATTGGATTGGGTTGGAGGACATTGACCAAGATGGTACATGGATCTGGACCAAACACAGAAGCAAAGAATATAATCAAAGCCTTTGGTTCCCTGGAGAGCCAAATGGAAATGAATTCTGTGGAATGGTGCAATACTTGAAATCAGACCTCAGAGTTGGATTATTTGACCTGACCTGCCACACTCAAACGAGATTCATCTGCGAAATGTGACTTTTACTCAAAGATAAAGTCATAATCATGTGTAATGCAAAAGGCTTTGAAATGTGACGTTAAATCATAGATTACGTTAAAATCTTGTACAAAAAGCATTGATCAATCTACATAAGTTTCAACATGAACATAGTGTGACATGTATGTTTTGTTAATCGCTCCACAGCAATAACAATGCCCCTTTTACCTTACTCACCGCCCATGTTCATAATTTATTTTCATTAGCTTTCTAACATATTTAATCGTAATCTTCTAGAAGCTGTCTTATTGAGATGTTGTAGTGAAAGAATTTTGAACTATTCCACTAAGTGTCTTGTTATTTCTTAATTCATTCCTTTTCCTCCATTAACTTCGTTATGATCTTTCTCTTCGGAACATTCTTCTCGTTCAGCGATATTCGATTAGTAACAATAAAAAAAACAAAGCCTGAAAATTTGAGACTCCATATTGTAAAATTTAGCAGCACAAAACCTAATTCGCTCTACAAATTCATGGGTTAAATGCCTTTCAAATTTATAGTAATAAAAATCAGTTAAATAAAAAATTAATGGGTGAATCGTGCCCTGACAAAAATTTGCTTAAGTTAAGTATAATTTACATATACTTTTAGATATATGTTTCAGAACTTGACATTTTTATATTCGATGAAAAAGGTGAGTAAAATTTTGGGGAGGGGGATGCGTAAATACATAAGTAATAGTCTCATTTTATATAAGAATTGAGCAAGTATCAATTTCATGGAAAACAAAAAAAATATATACCAGAATGATTCCAATAAAAGTTTAATCGCAGTGACTTATAGCTATTACTAGAAAAAAAAATAAACTTAAGTTAAATCTTTGATGCTATATAAGGTGTTCATTAACGATGATTTTTAGGTAGGACATGTTACTGTTTTTATTTCTTATTACAAATTCACTTCATGAAAAGGACGGGTTATACGTAAAAAGATATGACACTCTTTCAAATTGTTTCATTTAATG